ACGTTTTCTCCACTCCACGGTATGGCCATTACCCTACGCATGCGCACAACCATATCACCCAGGCAGTGGCTTAAAGGCAGTGGCAGCCATGGACAGCTGTTTCGCCCTTATTGGTGCTCTTCAGCATGGCATAGCCGTCGGTTCTATGAACAGGCAAACCCGTGTATCTAATGGCAACACCGCAAAGCTGCTATGTGTGGCTTCAGTGCTAAAATTGGTATTGTTTCTTATTGTTTTGTTTTACAGAGTGACTAAAATCTCCAGTCGAACTGTAAGAGTATAAACTAATACAAAGTCTTTGTCAGGTGAACAAAACATGGACACAAGGTGGTGCGTAGCCGGCAATGCAAGATCTTTTGGGCAAACAATTCTGAATAGTAAATAGTACTTGCATTGTCGTGGCTGCCATCTTTGACTTTATCACTGAGGAAGAATGGGGAGAGCATGGGCATTTAAGGGTGGGAGGAAGAGGTGGGGTGGGGGGGGCGAAACAACCAACAGTCGGGAACAAATTGTATAGACATTGTCCTTAAATGGGTAATTTCAGAGAACGGAACAATTCACACCCACCACCCCCTCCACCGAAAGTTGAGTTTTTTTTAATATTTCTTACAAGTAGGTCAAACAGCTGCACGACATTACATAGAGGGGGTGAGGGAAGGGCAAGCTTCATTTCCCCTTTGAAGTCAGCAAAGTATCTGAACTAATTTTCTCGCCGATTGAAGAATTAACACAACGGCTAGGCAACCCAAAACATTCCTGCATCCAAAGAAAACAAGACCAATTTCAGAGCTGAAGCACACATTCAGAACAACTCCGCGCTATGGCAAGTACCTTACGCATGCGCACATTTATATCACCCGGACAGTGAAAGAAAACGCCTGTAGCCTGACTAATGGGAAGCGCGAGATCAAAACTTGAGGTAGTTCATAGTAAACTGGCAGAAAAATTGGAATTGATTCTAGCGATTTCAATTCAACTACTTGACTTTATAGGCTGTAAAAAAAGAAAGAAGAAGAAAAAAAAAAAGAGAGATAAAAAACATTTCGCTCCTTAGGCGTCAGTAAGTCAGGCCGGTGAAGTCAGTTTTGACCAGATTTTTTAGTGGGGGGTGGGGGAATAAAGTGCTGAGAATTTATAAGGAAAGGATATTGATGTACAAACAAGAAGGCAACCGTTAATTACCAAACGAAACCAAATAATCTGTGTATATTGGTTTTGTGGAAATTCGGTATTATTAACTTATTATCTGCTTCTACATGGCTTGAAAAATCTTGAGAAACTAGTATTTTTTTGCAAAAAAGGCAAACAATAAATGAGGAGCCAGTCGAGGGAATCATAAGTCACAGATCATACAACTACTACAAGGAGCGCGCAAACATTAACTACTTTCCTTTATAAAATAACTGAGATAGTACGCGTGATCTGATTGGTCAAAAACCTATGGTTTATTATATACCGGTAAACCCATAGAAAAAGGCATCCGGACCACGAGCCATAAACAAAACCCGCTATTGATCTGCAAACAACGATTTTAGAAAGGCTAAAAAACAGAACAAGTTACTTACCCAGCCCTTCTTAATATTAAAAACGTTGGTTTCCACATTTTATTACTGAGCCTGACTGTTGAGTCCGAAGAGGTACAGAGACGACAGCATCAACACAACATACTTTAATACCATAGATTCATACAGCTCTCTCGAATGACAGCTCTACCGCCCGTCAGCGGTCAGTTAGTACTTCATGTTACTACATCTTCCTTTTTTTTTTAAGTTAACTAAATGTCAATAAGGACAACGCAGTTCTCCAGTGTCCTAAAGTGAAACTAATCTTAGCATTGTTCGATAAGTCTGTCCGGTCTTCTTAGAGCTCCTCTAGGTCTAAGGCGTGTCAGCATCGGTTCAGGCTGCAAGGGCTTGTCCACTGCTGGTTGGTCCCCAGGGACAGGTAGTTCTACATAATCTTCTTGGCTGGCTCCAGGAGCTGAGGATACGTCTGGGTTCCTCTCTCTTGTTGGTATCGGCTCATGATTCTCATAGTCTTCATTCTGGGGTGGGACCGGAGAACTTCCCACCAGAACTCTTCTTGTCATCCGGCGGTTTCTTCTCACTTGTCCGTTTTGGGTCTGTATGATTACAGATCTTGGACTCTCGTGTGGCTTAATCACTGTTCCTTCCTCTTTTAAATCGGGGATCCAAATGCGGTCACCGGGTGACAGTTCCTTTCCCTCTACTACTTTGTGTCTATGGTCATAATCGAATTTCATCTTAGCTCGGTACTCCTTCTCTTTCCTTCTGATGTGATCACGGTCTGGGGTCTCTGGCTTTAGCTCCTCCGGGTGACAGGGGACTCTTGTACGAAGTTTCCGACCCATGCTCAATTGTGCTGGAGAGTAACCGTGGTGCAATGGAGTATCTCTGTAATTCAGGAGAGCCA